CCTCTCAGGCTGGGGGGCTCAGACACGCTCACTGATTTAGTTTCAGCCCAGAAAGGCTGGGCCACGTGCCCAGTGACCAGCCTACTACAGACAGGATTGGGCCTGGGTGACTTCCCGACGCCTGGGCAGGGACTCGTCTCAAAGGAGCAGGCCTGAGGGACGGCGGAGTTCTGGCTCGGAGGACACTGGGGGGCGGCGGGGCGGGCAGGGGGGGGGGGGTTTGCACACGGACGGATGCAAAGGCACAGCAGAAGCAGGAGGCACACTGAGGGTTGGGGACCCCAGGAGGCAGAGGACCGGCGATGACAGGAGAAGCAAGGGGGACATCTGAGCACTCACTGAGGACTGTTTTTTTTTAATTGAATTTATTGGGGTGACATTAGTTAATAAAATTATACAGGTCCCAGGCACACAACTCTATGTATAATACACCACCAGTACGCTGTGCTGTGCAGTCCCCACTCCGAGCCTGGTCTCCTTCCACCACAATTCGTCCCCCTCCCCTCCCTCTGCGAATTACTGTACTGCTGTCTGTGTCTGTTTTTTTCCCTTAATCCTGTCACCTCCCCCTGCTGTGGACTGTTATGTTACTTCCTCTTCACCATCGCCCTGCATTATTTCACAGACAGAAAAATCATGCCCAAAGTCACACGGTGGAGTCTACGTGCCCACACCAGCCACAGGTGAGGCCCAGGTGAGGCCTGGGGGAAAGCGTCGCAGCTGCCCCCCAGCCCCGTCCGCTGCTCCCGGCACCACCGCTCGAGTTTGAGGGAGTAGAGGGTTAACCGGGGCCCTCTCTCTAGGGCAGACAGACACGTCCCTACCTGTCCGACCAGTTCCAAGGGCCACATCTGCAGCTCAGGGTTTAATGAGAACAAGCAGTGAGGGCGCTCCCACCCTCTATGATCCCATCGGAGAACAGTGTGGCGCTGCCTCCACTCCCACCCCCACCCCCGCCCACTCAGGTGGGCGCACATCTGGGCCCCTTCATTTGCAGACACCTGCACTCTAAGCAGGCATTTCCTGCTAGGCACCCCTCCCCCACGCCAGGCCTGGCTGTCCAGTCCGTGGTCAGGGAGTGGGGAATGAATGAGTCATTGGCAGGGCTAGAGGGAAGGGGAGCGGAGCTGAGGACGCGGCCCGGGGTCATGTGCTCTCCAACACCTGCCTCGCAAGCCCTGAGTCTCCCTACACGGCCTGCAGCTGGGACTGGGAGGGAGCTGAGCCCTGGGTCTTTCTTGCAGTTTGGTCTGGAAGGGTTCCTGGCGCAAGCCTGGCCCTGGCGCTCAGGAGAGCTGGAGGCACAGGCCCGCCGCCACAGGGTGGGGTAGGGTGCAGCCAGCTGGCCCCTCCTCCTGGGGGCCCACCCCCACACCTCGCCCCCAGAGCAAAGTGCATGCATGCCCAGCCTGGCGGTGGACGCAGCCTCTGCCACTCACAGTGCCCCCCTCCTGTCCCAGCTTCGAATCCCATCCACACGCAACTGCCACTGCCACCTTGGGGTTTATCTCATCCGCCCAGATGCCCCGGGGGGCCGGCGGGACAGGGGTCACCATTTCGAGGATGAGGAGAGGAGCTCAGGAGGCCCTGGTTCTTGCTGGCAGCTGGGCACACTCTGACTAGATGGTCCTCCTCCTCCAGACTGGCCACACGCCTGCCCACAGAGCTCATCCACCCACTACCATGGCGTGTTCTTCGATTGGCCAAGGGCGGGCATTGTCTGCTCGCCCACCCATCCTGGCGGGGGAGAGAGCACCGATGCAAGAACAAGCCCGGCACTGAGCATCAGACGGTCACTCTTACCATGGGGGAGTCAGCAGGCCCCCACAGTGGGGTGGGTGAGGACACAGCACTCTGGGCCCCTCCCTCACCCCCAGGAAACCCCCAATGCTGGTAGGGCCTGGTGGGGCTCTCCCCCTCAGGCCGGCACCCCAAGTGCTCCCACCCAGCCGGGCCCCCACTCTATCCCAGTCCCAGCCCTCCTTCACCCTAGCCAGAGGCTCTGTGAGTGCCTGGGAGCTCTCCTGCCCAGCACCCTGTGCTGGGGCACTGCTTCCTCCAGGGCTGCCTTCTCCCAGCCCAGGGATGCTCCTGCACCCGGGGCCCAGACCACCTCTCCATCCCCGTGACGGGAGAACAGCTTCTGGGGGACCTCTCACTGCAGACCCACCAACTCCTTCCTCGGCCTGGGCCTGGGCACCGTGTCACACCGGCAGGCCCCACACCCTGCGGAACGGCCCTTCCCGCTGGGTCCACCGCTCACACGATGCCCCCGTGCTCCCCACGGCTCACAGACAGACTCCAAGAAACCTCCCACCCCTGCCTCCAAGACCAGCCAACTCTTCCCAGCAGTCCCCAGCCAAGACCTCTGGCCTCTCGACTAGGTGGCCCTTGGCCCAACTTTCCTCCCCTGTATCCTGGCACCCCTCCACTCCACCAGGCCAGAGCACATGTCACTGTCCTCCCCAGGCACTGAAGCTGGCGCCCTGCTCCTTAGCTCTGACAGGCCCTCCAACTTCCTGTCCCGCAAACCCAACTAGCCAAACTCACCCACTTCATCAATGACCCTGCCCCTGCCAGGGCCCCGGATCACCCAACTCCTTCACTGCCAGGCCGACCCCTCAACTGCGCTCCCCAGCTGAGGGGGCCCAACTCCTCAGCCCACAAGCTGCCTCATCTCTCCATGTCCTCACCTCCCCACCTGAGACCCCCCGAGTGTCCAGAGTGCGAGTCCTACCCAGGCCCCACAGGCCCTCTCCCAAGCTCCAGAGAATGAGACTCCCCTAAACTAGATCATCACCTCCACCCCTTACCCAGCATGGACCAATCAGCAACCATCCTCCAAATCCTCCCAACTGGACACCCACTGACCCTCTTCCCTCCCCTCAAACTCCTTCTCTGCTCCTCTAAGACTGCCCACGAAAAACAAACAAAAAACACAAACACTCGCACAGAAAGGGCTCTGCCCGGACAACAGCAGCTGCTGTTTGTGCAGCAGGAATTTGCAAGCCCTATCCTATTTCGTCCTCCCAACTACCTCACAGCAGAGGCTGGCACCATTTGCAGAGAGAGAGAGAGAGAGAGAGAGAGAGAGAGAGAGAGAGAGAGAGAGAGAGGAGGCTCGGAGAAGACAAACGGCTCACCCAAAGCCAGACGGCTGGGCACATGCAGCCACCCCTGTACTGAAAACCTGCAGACTGGAAACTTTACCCCACCCCATGCCAAACTGTCCAGCCACCCCCTGGGACCCTCCCGCCCACAAACTGACCACCTCCCCTTCCCCTGCCCCAGGCTTCTAATGGACTCCCATCTCCGCTCCCCTCCTGGAGGCTTGTGAAGCAGACACATCCAGGGCCCAACCCCGTGAACCAACTCCTCTGGAGTGGCCCCTACAATGACCAACATTGCCTAACATCACCCCAGAAATGACCAATAATAACTGCAACTTCAAGAAGGCTCACCCAGGCCAATCACTTTTCACATACATTCTCAGTCCTCTCTTAATACCCCTGGCATGGGTATTATCACCCCCTCTACAGATAGGGAAACTGAGGCTCAGAGGAGTCCGTTTCCCAGCCCGAGGTCATGAAGTGGGTGCACAGAAGGCAGGATTTGAACCGGAGCCTCTGCTCTTCCCCACCCTGCTCACCGGTCAAGCCTTTCTCCCTTCCTGCCCTGAACTCCGGGGACTGAATTCCATGCGACAGCCCCAGCCCATTCTGCCTCCTCCCTGCCTCAGCCCCCCAAGCCCTCCCACCCAAAAGTGACCACCTGTCCATGGGGCCTGGAGACCAAGAACTTGGCCGGCTCCCAATGCCAAAGGTCTTAAATTACCCCCTGTCTCTTTAGCAGTAACGAGCCAAATTGGCACTTACCGTGGGCTCCCTGTGTGTTCAGCTTCCAGTTACCATTTTCCTCACTCTCACGTCACAGCCACCAACTCCTCCACAGCGGCGCACAGATGAGCAACAGCTTCTCCTCTCCCCACAGGGCCACCAGACCAACTTCTGTAGAGCCAGGGCCACCCTGCAAATCCTCTCCACCCCAGCAAGACTGACAGACTTCTCCAGCACAGAAATGGACTCAACGCTGCCATGCAGCACGGGAGCGACTTTCCACCTTCCCAGCCCCGTGGGTAACATGCTCCTCCAGACGCTGCTCTTTCGGTTCCAACACTGACCTGACCTTCCTCCTCCTCCAGTAATCCACAGATTCGCTTCCTTTCCCAACACCTAAAGCCACCACATTTCTTCTACTGAGCGTGCAACTCCAATTCCCCAACTCTTTCTCAAGGGGAGAAAACAGACCCTTCTATAACCAGGCCCCCAAAAGTCCCTCTGCTCCTGAACGACTGACAATACTTCCTGGGGGAGTCAGAAGCATGCAGTGACTTTTGGTCTTAATGCCAAGATCTGTCAGCTCCTCTGGCTATCTTACCCATCCCCAAAGGGACCACCACCGCCGCTCTTTTCTGGGACTTTACCTTGACTCCCTTTCCCAACTCCAGGGCTTATGACCCCTCTACAGCCACAGTCCCGATTGATTCCTCTTTCTCCCTTTAGCCACCCCCTGGTCCAGAGGCTCATAGGCCGGAACTTAACGTCTTTCCATCGCCATGGGCTCGTAAAACTCCTCCAGCTGCCCTTTCAAGCGCCAGCGTTGACCCATTCTTCCTCCCCCAACAACACTCTCTGTCCTTCTCCGGGGGGAACTATGAATTCAAAGACTAATGTCCTCCCAAGTCTCCCAAGCCACCAAACTTTTAAATTGCTCATCTTATTAATTCCTACACCGAACATATTCAGGGTCCCCTGAGGCGGGGGGGAGGGACATAAACCAGCTACTTTTCACCTTCCCAACCCAACAGCCACCCCCTTCCCTGGTGACTGTCTCCTTAAATCATCATTAGGTGCAACTTATTGAGCACCACCTCCGTGCTGGGCGTTGCACTGACTCCCTAGAACCCCACGAGCCCGCCTCCGCTCCCAGGCTGTAGCTACCGTGTCTCCAAGGGTCTTTGGGCTCCACTGCTCCAGACACGATATCCTCGTCCGAGGGGAACGTGACGCGCTTGGCCGCAGCCTTGAGGCGCCCGTCGGCCGGGGGCGATGCGGGAGTGGGAGCCTGGGCCTCGGCGGGGGCCTCCTCGGCATCGCCGTCCGCGCCCTGCCCGGGCGGCGCCTCCTGCGGCGGGATCTCCATCGCCGCCGCCGCCGCCGCCTCCTCACGGGGGCCCCGGGGACATGCCCCGGGTCCCGGACTTGTCTCTCCGGGCCCGCCCGCCGTCCCGGGGCATGGGATCCGCCGCTTTTTCAGGAGATGCCTCCGTCCACTTGCCTGGTCGTCGTAATCGTCGCCTCGGTGAGCCGGAGCGCGCCTCCCCCGAGCCCCGCGCCCGCCCGCTCGTTCGCAGCCGCACTTTCGTTAAAGGCCGATGGTCCCACCGCGTACTAAGAAAAGCAGAAAATCAAATTAAGCTGTCTGCTGGTAGAGCTACCTCCAGGGTCACTGTAGGGGGGTAACAAAAGGCAGCAAGAGCCAAGGGAAAAAGAAACATGAGCACTGAATCCGCAGAGCCGGAACTGCAGAGCAGGAGGGGCGGGGCGAGATAGACGCCGTCTCCCAGAGCAGCGCGCAAGCGCGAACCTGAGCCGTTCCCCTTCCCCTTCCCCGCCCCCCCCGCCTTCCCGCCTCCATCCGGATAACTGTGGTTCAGGCTCACACACATTCGTCACGATCTCACGCACTGCAAGAGTGGAGTTGATAGAAATGAAAAACATCTGCTTGACCAGGCTAAGGCAACCGATAAGGAGAGACGTAAAGGGGTGGAGTACTTGAAAAGTAATAGGACTTGCGTTGAATGAGTACAAATGATGGATGGTGACGGAGGGATCCTCACCAACCTTACGTCCCCGTGCTAGCCCCTGGCCTTCCCTTTGCAGACTGCAGCTTTATCAATAATTATTTGGATGGCATTGTACAAGATACAACTTAAATGTATAAACTAAAATAAATGAGCCCATGAGGAGTATCATAGCCTTCATTTAAAAAGGGGATGAGGTGTGCGAAAAAATTCCAAAAGCAGGGGTTGAATCTGTCAACCAAAATACCGAGCAACGGCGCCGATAGATCACTAAGCCCGGAGCAAACCAGCACGAACTCAAGCCACGCCCCCCGGCTCAATTCTATCACTTAATATTCGCCTCCGCACTTTCGCCAGCCCATCCAGCAACTCGGGGTTGGAAGGGAAGGCGGGGCTAAAACCAAAAGTCTGCTTGAGGGGAGGAGCGAGCGGCGTCGTTGCCAAGGCAACTCTAGAGCTAGGCCAAGGACTCCCCTGAGGTGGCGTTGTGAACCAACGTTTAGAAGTTGAGACTCCACTTGTCTCCGACATCATCGGTTTTCGGCTGCTGTACTTTCGTGACTAAAGACGTACGAAGCGACTCTCATGCATATTCAACAGAATCTTCACTTAAATTCCGAATTTGATGGAATTACAAAGAGAGAAGAAACTGCTCTTTAAAGCGAATCTGAAGAAAGACTACTAGTGACAGGGCTAAGTGAATCAAGTGATATCGGCGGCCATGGCACACAGATGGAGCGAAACGAAGAGGGGAAGCTTCACCCTAACCCCTAATCGTCAGCTTTTTCTCAGTGGTGCCCACAGGGCGTGGGAGTAAGCGAATCTGTGGTGCTTCGTGGTCCGCCCCACCCGGGCGGGAGCGCGCCGCCAGGTAACCCAGAGCGATGCGCATCCCTTGCTTGGTACATTCCTGCCCACCCAATAAAAAAACCTCGTCCAAATCATCCAAGCCTGGCATCCAGATCACTCCAGACGTTCTCCGAGACTAGGGGCAATCGGAACCCCGCACCTCTATCCAAGTTCCGCCCAACCAATTGATGTGTCCTCCCCCTCCCGCTTGGCCCAACTCCACGGGATTCCGTGCTTGAACAGTTACTCTCCCACCCCCTAAATCTGGCTTCATCCGTGTAGGGTACACTTCAAAAACCAAAAAGAAAGAAAGAAAGAAAGAAAGAAAGAAAGAAAGAAAGAAAGAAAGAAAGAAAGAAAGAAAAGAAAGAAAGAAAGAAAGAAAGAAGAAAGAAAGAAAGAAAGAAGAAAGAAGAAAGAAAGAAGAAAGAAAGAAGAAAGAAGGAAGGAAGGAAGGAAGGAAGGAAGGAAGGAAGGAAGGAAGGAAGGAAGGAAGGAAGGAAGGAAGGAAGGAAAGGAAGGAAGGAAAGAAAGAAAGAAGGAAAGAAAGAAAGAAAAGAAGGAAAGAAAAAGAAAGAAGGAAAGAAGGAAAAGAAGGAAGGAAAGAAGGAAGGAAAGAAGGAAGGAAAGAAGGAAGGAAAGAAGGAAGGAAAGAAAGAAAGAAAGAAAGAAAGAAAGAAAGAAAGAAAGAAAGAAAGAAAGAAAGAAAGAAAGAAAGAAAGAAAGAAAGAAAGAAAGAAAGAAAGAAAGAAAGAAAGAAAGAAGGAAAGGAAGGAAGGAAGGAAGGAAGGAAGGAAGGAAGGAAGGAAGGAAGGAAGGAAGGAAGGAAGGAAAGAAGGAAGGAAAGAAAGAAAGAAGGAAAGAAAGAAAGAAGGAAAGAAAAAGAAAGAAGGAAAGAAAAAGAAAGAAGGAAAGAAGGAAAGAAGGAAGGAAAGAAGGAAGGAAAGAAGGAAGGAAAGAAGGAAGGAAAGAAAGAAAGAAAGAAAGAAAGAAAGAAAGAAAGAAAGAAAGAAAGAAAGAAAGAAAGCAGGAGGTGGATTTTCCTGGAATAATCACTGGTTCTTTGGAAGGAGGTGAGTATTGGAGTTTCTTCTGGGTGACTGAGCTTGTGCAACACTTAAACATTTTTTTTTACTTATTGATTTTTTAGAGACAGAAACACCCACTTGTTGTTCCATGTATTCATGTATTTCATTGGTGGTTTCTTTCAGCCACCCAACCCAGAACCAGACCCACAACCTTGGTGTATCTGGATGATACGCTAACCAACCGAGCGCCCTGGCCAGGGCTGCAACTTCTATAATAAAAAATTTCCCACTTTGCAATTTACCTTCCTTTATTCCCACTGCCCCTCCCCCAGCCCAGCCCACCCCCAGTCTTTAGGAACTGGCCAAAGGCCCACATTTCTGTAGAGTTCAGAGTTCTGTGAGGTCGAGCATTCCTTTCCACGGGACATAGAACTCCTGGGGTTGCAGAATTTTACTGACTAGACCCTGGAGATCCAAAAAAGCCAAAGTTGCTTGGAGATTGGCTCAAAATTCCAAGGGAATTCCAAACTCGATGGGGCCAGAGGTCCAGAACAGTCGGAGGCCTGGGAATCTGTGGCTAGGCCTAAGGCAGAAGGTGACCACGGTAATGTCTTTATAGCTTGAAGTTGTAAGCAATAATGTCACTGCACCGGAGCAGTGCCTCCGCCTGCACACCTATCGGAGTCTGCAGCTGCGACACGTAGAAGTTGGCCACGTCCAGGTCAGTGGCTCCAAACTGGGCAGTCACGTGTACACCCTCATGCAAGGTGAAGCTGACCTGGCGGCCCACCATGGCCAGCAAGCTGCGGAGGTAGCGCTCCCGGAGTATGGCTCGGGCCTGCTGCTCCTGGGATTCCCGAGATTCGTGAACTATGAGGGACTCCGGGGTTTCAGAAACCTCTGGCTTCAGGAGGGCCCTACGTCCATCAGGGGCAAAGCCTCGGCTCAGGCCATCAGGGCCCCGGGGGAGCCGGATTACAGGCACAGGACTGGTCAGTGGAGTCTGCATTGTCCAGGCTGTGGAGTGAAGAAGAGCAAGGAGCCATTACAAGGGGAGGCGGATGACAGGAAGAGGGGGGCTGGGTGCAGAAGCTTGTCTACGGCATCTCAACTCATCCTACCCAAAGCCAACCTCCTGATTCCCCTTCCTAAAATCTGCACCATCCCTCTACCAGTCCCCGCTTCCCAGGAACTGGCCCCAACACCCATGAAGCCCAGGGGAGCAGGGACTTTTGCCTGCTTTCCTTCTCGCAGCTTTATTCCTGGCCATGAATGTGTACTGGAAGAACCAACCCCTGCCTCCTCTCCTCTCTCACACGTGGTCCATCCAATCCATCAGGAAACTCTGTCTTCCAAATAAATTCCCTATCACAGGACTCCCTCTGGCCAAATCTGGAATGATCTGAACATTTAAATATGACCATTACAGATTATAACCCACTGAATAGAAATCCATGAGTCCATGCTAATTATAAATAAAGAAAGGAGAAGGAAAGTTCCCTAGAATGGCAGTGAAATCATCAACAGATGCTAAAACTCACAGAGACATGTCTGATGGAGGCCAGGACATCTGCAGAGTCTTAAGTGCCTCCTCCCAAGGTACCCACTGTAAAGCGTGACTTTATGGTGGAGAAACCAGCAGATGCCTTCACTTGGGCACCAAAGCTAATGTGGGCAGTGGTGGGGCAGACAGACCCCAGGTGCCTCCTGATGTGACACTAAAAAGGCCAGGGCACAGGTGTGTGGATTCCACACAGGTGCTTGAGTCTAATCATATGGGACAACTGTGTCTAATTAAGGTAATCAAATTGAGAAACATTCTACAAAAATAGCAATAATAATAATAATAAGCCTGGGAGGTAGATTTGAGTCCTTGCCGGTTGACCTCATAATATTAGCCAAGATGGCTAATAAAAAATTAGCCATCTTGGATTCTTCAAAAATATCAAGGTCATAGAAGGTAAAAGCTGGGGGGCTTCCTCATTGGATCTGTGGTGATACACATACATCCACCACCCGATCCGGCCAGCATCACTTCCTGCCTGGCCTACTGAAGCCCACTCCTCACTGGCTTACCCCCCTCCTCTGTCACACCCCTACCCCTGTCCTCACGCATAGCCAGAGGGACCTGAGTCAGATCCAGTTCCTCCTCTGCTCAAGCCTTCCAGTGGCTTAAGACAAAATCAAAGTTCTCATCACCGCCCTCAAGGCCCCCATGCTCTGGACCCCTTCTGGGGACATCACCCGAGCTTCCTCACCCCACCCAAGTCACGCTCTGGCCTCTTTGCTGGTCCTTGAGCCCACTTGCTATCCCTTCTCTGGCTCTGACACTGGGGGTCCCTCTGCTCCATCTCTTTTCTCCTTTCCCTGACCACCTTGCCTTAAAGCTCCACCTGCCCCTCATCCCTCTGCATCCCCTCGGTCAGCTTCTTCGTTCTCTGCAGCACAGACCCCTCCAAGACATGACACTGTGTTTTTACTGTTCTGCTTATGGTCCTTCTCCCCCGCCAGATGGCTCCCTCCCCACCCCTCCCCCTCCAGGCACCCTCCGCTCCCGGGATACAGAGGGGCACTCAGAGTAGGCTCTGTTCAATGAATGAACTGGAGATTAAGCCCCCAGGCCTGGTTGGCTGGGTGACCTCAAGCAAGAGACAGTTTCCTCTTCCATTGTGTGGAGAAATAGCACCAATTGCCACCTCTGTTTGTTATGAGGGTTCAACTGGCTCCTGCAGGAAGGGCCCTGATACATATCAGGCTCTCCATAAAAGCTAGGTACTTAAAATTGTTATTAACATGTGGTGTGACCTGGGGTAAAAGCTTAACTGTTCAGTGCCTTGGTTTCCCACCTGTAAAGGGGATTGATGAGAGGACCGACCAGGTTGTCCCGGAGACCAAATGTGTAATGTTTAGCCCTCTCCTGGAACACAGCGAGCATCTGGGCCATGAAGCTGCCTGCATATAGGGAAATGCTGGCTTTGGGGACAGGAGGAGGAAAAGAGAAGGACCCTCAGTTCAGCAGCTGCACCACTCTCTGTGGCACAGTCCCCTCCTCTATAAAGGAACCCCCCAAAGACCGACCTGCTGTGACTCCAGCATCACTGCTATGAAGAAAGTGGCCCTGGCTGGTGTGGCGCAGTAGATGAGTGCTGGCCTGTGAACCGAAGGGTCGCCAGTTCAATTCCCAGTCAGGGCTCGTGCCTGGGTTGTGAGCCAGGTCCCCAGCTGGGGGTGTGAGAGGGGCAAGGTCACTGTTTCACTTAGACATCATGTTTCTCTCCCTCTCTCCCTCCTTTCCCCACTCTCTAAAAATAAGTAAATAAAACCCTTTTATTTAAAAAAGGAAGAAAGCAAAAAGAAAGTGATTCAACAGCCCCAGCCAGAGGCTGGGCTCAATCTGGTGCAGGTTTCCCAGACAGCTGCAGATGTGAAACAATTCTGTCTGCAAAGTGCTCAACATGCGCCCCTGGTGACTGGAGCATCTTCAAGAACAAATCCCTTTGGACCTCAGGAAGTCTGTTCATTTCTGCAGTGAAATGAATGTCTGAAGGTATTCTAAACCACTTCTCACGAACCAATGAATATTCAGAGAGAGCTAAATTTGAAGCCTGTACAAAAAGCTTATCCCTGTAACATGTGCCATACTATACAAACTTCCGCTTTTGTTCTTAACATCTACCTCTCTAAATCTTCAGGAATTCCTATTTCACAGGAATAATTACTTTATATACACTGACAGCAGCATACAAATGAAATACTTTTAAAAAAAGAAAGAAAGAAAGAAAGAAAAAGGCAAGCAAGAAAGCCCTGGCTCAGTGGATTGAGCGCCAGCCTGTGAACCAAAGGGTCTCTGGTTCAATTCCCAGTCAGGGCACATGCCTGAGTTGCAGACCAGGTCCCCAGTAGGGGGCGCACGGGAGGCAACCACACATTGATGTTTCTCTCCCTCTCTTTCTCCCTCCCTTCCCCTCCCTAATAATGAATGAATAAAATCTTTTAAAAAGAAGCCCTGGCTGGCGTAGCTCAGTGGATTGAGCACGGGCTGTGAACCAAAGTGTTGCAGGTTTGATTCCCACTCAGGGTAACATGCCTGGGTTGCAGCCCATGATGCCCAGCAACCGCACATTGATGTTTCTCTCTCTATATATATATCTCCCTCCCTTCCCTCTCTAAAAATAAATAAATAAACTCTTTAAAACCTTTTAAAAAGGGAAATGGCTTCCAATGAAAGAGAGAGGGCGAGAGGGAGGGAGAGAAACCCCTGGCTGCTTTCAGTTAGTGGAGCCACAAATCACCATTTCTCTCTCTCCCTCCAAATTCAATCAATAAAAATATTTTAAAAGTAGAAATAAAGTGATCAACTGAAGTGACGGGCAAATATCACGCCTCACTCACAGTCCGGAAGTGACAGAGACTGTCCTTTTCCTGGTGGGCTTCCCCCATTTCTGCGGCTCAGCTGTGATGCTGGGCCACACCGCTCTTTGCCATGTTGTGGGGAACTGCCGGCGCGCAGGGGTAGGATTTTAGCAGCATCCTTAGCCCCTACCCACCGGGTGCCAGTAGCACCCCAAATTGCGACAACCAAAACCGTCTCCATTGGTGAATAGCATGGTATGAGAATTACACGGCGATAAGGCCATTAAAAAAATAAAAGGAGCCCTGGCTGGCGTAGCTCAGTGGATTGAGCACGGGCTGCAAACCAAAGCATCGCAGGTTCAATTCCCAGTCAGGCCACATGCCTGGGTTGCAGGCCACGGCCCCCAGCAACCGCACATTGATGTTTCTCTCTTTCTTTCTCTCTCTCTTTCTCTCTCTCTCTCTCTCTCTCTCTCCCTCCCTCCCTTCTCTCTCTAAAAATAAATAAATAAAATCTTTAAAAAAGTCTCCATATATTGCCATATGTCCCTGGGGGGGACAAAAAAAGAAGGCAAATATCTCTAGCTGAGAGGCACTGACAAACAGGTGGAAGGGGGAAGATAGCTGCTGAGTCTGACATGGTCGTGCAGCCGCACTGAGGACGGGAGAGATGCACAGGAGAGCTCCGAGGCCATAGGATTCTGTGCGTCCCAGAGCAGGGAAGATGGGAAGGGCAGAAGATTGTACTGGTGCGGCTGCAGAGGAACTTCCTCAATTCCCTTGTGGCCGGCTGTCAGTTAAGAGGGCCTCAAAGAGGGCAGCTGGACTGAGTCCAGGAAGCAGGTAACGCCCCAGCGTGCCCATCATTCCATCCCTCGCCCCCAGGCTCTTCCTGGGCCAGGAGACTTCGAGTTATCTGCCTTTTTGGGCCCTTTGAATTCCTTCCCATGTCGTTGTATAACCTATTCAAATAAATTTTAAAATTCTAACTTTAAAAAGGAAGGGATGTATTGTAATGCTCCCAAGTCTCTTGAGAAATGTGAGCTTCTTCCTCAGGAGTCTGAGCTCTGTCTGCTATTCTCACGGTCACCCGCTCCCCGGACCCTTCTGCCCGAGCCAGCCCTTTGTGGAACTAGCTGCCGAGTCCCACTGGAGGTCCACTCTATTCCTTACTAGCGGGAGTCGGTCATTTTCTCTGCAGAGGGCCAACAGTAAATATTTAGCCTTTGTGGGCTGTAGGGTCTCTGTCACAACTAGTCAGCACTGCCATAGAAGCAGGAAAGCCAGAAATAAAACATAAACAATGAACATGGCGATGCTCCAATAAAACCTTACTTATTGGGGACACTGAAATTTGAATTTTATATAATTTCACACACCACAAAAAAAAATTTTTTAAAGTATTCCAACCACTTAAAAATGTAAAATAAAACCCACTCTAAGCTCCTGGGCCACACAAGGATAGGGTCAGGGTCAGGGTCAGGGTTTCCACCTGGGAGGGAGGATAAGGGTGTGGATTCGGGGAGACTAGTGCATCTTAGCCCCAGATTCACTCCCAGGGATCTGGGCAGGTCACTGCAACTCCGCCAGTGGCCTCACTGGTCTGGCTCCTCCTCTACGAATGAAGCATAAAAAGAGACCTCCTAGAGTGTTGGGAGAAGGGAGAGTCACTGGGGGGAGGCTGGTGATCACACAGACAAAGGACATCCTGTCTCCCTCTGAACTGGGCACTTTCTCCACTACCCACATCCAATCCATCAGCAAAGCTGGTCAGCCCCACCTTCAAAAATGCATCCAAAATCTGGCAGTTTCTCACTCCCCCTCTCTGCCCCTTCCGTCCTCCTTCCAACCACCAGCACACCTCACCTGGACTACCACAGTCGCCCCTCCACTGGGCTCCCTGCCTCCACCTTCACCTCACACAGCTGTCTGAGAGCCTCTTAGAACTAAGTCTGATCACATGCCTCCTCCGCTCAGATCCCTCCCCTGCTCTGGCCTCCCCCAAAGCAAAAGCTAATGTTCTTACAAAGACTACAACAAGGACCCATCACCTCTCTGACTGCATCTCTCCCCTCTTCACCCTTTGCTCACAGTTGGTCCTTGAACATACCATGCAGGTTTCCACCTCAGGGCCTTTGAACATGCTGTTCCTACTGCCTCTAACCCTCTCCCAGACAGGAGACATACATGTATTTCCAGAGACAAGGGTTCACCTTCCTCCCTCACTTCACTCAGGTCACTGTTCAAACACCACCTTCACATGGAGAAAAATAGCAGCCCTTTCACTCCGCATTAACTTCTTTTCACAGCACCATCAGCTTCTGACAAAGTGTATTTACTTGCTTTCCTATGCCACAGAATGTAGCCTTTGAGAAAACAGGCATGTCCATCACTTCGCACCTCCATCCGCAGCCCCACTGAGGGCCGGGCACAGGGGAGGTCTGCAAATGTTCACTGAAGGAATGCAAAGCTTCCCCTGTCCACATAATCCGAGTGCCTGCTCTGTGCCCAGCCTGTGCTAGGGTGGTGCTGGGGACCAGGCTGGGACTGGAACAGCCCGGCCCCACCTTCAAGGGCTTCCAGGCTGGCAGGTGACACAGACTTGTCTCTAGACAATGAGGACCCAGAGGAGGCAGGGCTGGAATGAAGGAGCCCCAGGGCCTCGGGAGCCCAAGGGGTGGAGGGCCACCGGTGAGCACAGACCGGAATGCAGTACGGAATGGAGTGATGCGGATATCTGGGGGAGAGCCTTCCAGTCAGCAAGAATAAGAGGTGAGGGCAGCGGACAGGGCCCTAAGGACCCTGGTGAGAACTTGGGCCTCTACTCTGGGCCCAGGTGAGAACATGGCTACTCTGGGTGAGCCATGGGAGGTCTGAGCAGGGGAGGGACAGGACCTGATCCCTCTGCCTGCTGCACAGAGAATGGACATGGGGGGACACAGTGGAAGCGGGCCCATGATGATGGTGCCTGGGGTGGGTTGGTAACAGTGGGGGCTGCAGAAGGGGTCAGACTCGGGTTTGTTTTGAAGGGTGAGAGCGCTCTTGCTAAGGGATTAAGGGGAAAAGCAGAATCTCCTGGGTTTTTGCCTGATTGGGAAGACCACAGAAAACAGGACTAGCTGGCTGTATACAAGTTTTTCTAACTTATTGGACAGCTGCCACAGTAGATGGGATTAATGAGGTGTATACGTTTTCTGTGTCTGACCACTGGACTCCATGCTTAGTAGAGGGTCATCAGCCCCCAGGGCTTGCCCCAGACCTAGGGAACACCCTAGTCTCCAGGATTAGTACTTAAAAGATTTATGGGAAATCAAGCAAGTGGCCCAAGGGCTTGGCCACTTAAATAAAATCCCTGGATAAAACAAAATTCAGGGTGGGCCAGTGCAAGGCCCTGTCCTCTCCAAGGTCAGGGCTGGGGCGGGGTGGGGAACAAACAGATTTGGTCATGCTAATGGAATTCCCGTTTTACTGAAAAGGAAACTGGAGCTGGGAGATGTCAGATCATTTGCTGGGGACAAGGTAGTGAGTCTCCTAGGAAAAAGGAGCCAACCCAGATGGGTCTGACCAACAAAGCGGGGTCACAGCCCCGCCCCCTGCAGAAGTGCTGATTTTTTTTTCCAGCCAGCACAGGGGAGCCCTTAGAGGTTTGGAGCCCAGGTGTGACCTGAGAATAAAGTGGTTTGAGAAAGGCCACACAGGGTGTTCCCAAGGCAAAAACAGGCATTATCCACTCTCCCTGCTAACAGAACCTAGAGTCCTTTACCCTTTTGATCTCCAAGCCAAGGATTTCCTGCGGGAAGGTTTCAGGAACACTGTCCAAACCCATCCCCCACTACTTAAGACCCCATCACTGCGTCAATGGCAGGGGCAGGAGACTCAGATCTCCCTCCGTGGGGCTTCACTTAGAAGAAAATGGGAATAGATCAGATATGCGGACAAATGTTCATACACCTCTTCAATTGCGACGGTAGGAAGTCATCTGAGTTACCGCGTTAACGAAGAGGCCCTCGGACCTAGTTAACCAAGGTGGTGACGTGTGCACCCACAGCCCAAGGGCTGCCCCATCCGTATGCATATTAGTTCAATGGGGCCTTCCGAGAGTCCTTCCCCTCCCTTCACCCCTGGGCCGGTCAGTTTCCTTTCAGTTCCTCCCCCTCGAACCCCTCGCCCTCCTTTTCTTACACTAAATACGTCCTCCAGGCCCCCAGGCGTCCACTCCCTACTCCACCCAGGGCTGGCCATTCCTCCCTACCTCCCAGCTCAGGCGGGCCAGGGATTCCACCCCAGGAAAGGCGGGGGTCTGGGGATGGCTGCCGTTATGACTGTTACCGTCATCGTTATTGCTTTCCACGCCCCCCTGCTCCCCACCTCACCCCGGCGCGGGAAAGTCCCGGCTCGGGCGTTCCAACCAGAGTCGCGGTGCAGGCGTTCGGGGTCCGGAATGTCACCGCGACCAGCGCTGCGGCCGCGGACATGCCTCTTCCCGCCACTCCAGCTTTGCCCGCGGGTGGGCGTCCTGGGCCAGGGCCGCGAAGAGGGAAGGTTCGACACCCACCTGCAATACCCCGAACTCACCCAGGTCCGCGTGCCGGCGCCCCCACTTCCGCCGGCGCCCCGGCTGCACGGGCCCGGGCGGGGCCGCGAGCCACCCAGCTTGGGTTCCGACGCGACCAGCGCCGCCCCACGTGGTCGTTTGCGGGCTGGCGGACTTGCGAGCCTACCCAGCCCAGCGCTGCGCCGCGGTCGGGCGCTTAGATCTCATCCACCATCTTCCAGGTGGGGGCGTCCAGGATGCCCATTTTAGGAAGAAGAAATCGAGGCCCAAAGAGGGGTTAAAGGCAGAGCTTAGTCTTTGCCCCTCCCCCCACTCCCCTACACGTGCACACTCCTACCCTTCTCCTGTAGTCCCAACCCCACCTCCCCTGCTTAGAACCTAGGGGTCGTGCTCGCGGCAGCCGGGCACCAGGAAAAAGTCTTGGAGAGCGGCAGCTGGGGTGAACCGTGCGTGGGTAGCCGTTTTGTCCTGCAGTCCCATTTCACAAAGGAGGAAACTGAAGTCCGGAAAGACAGAGCGGCTGTCCCCAGGTGCTGAGGAACCTCGCGGCTCTAGGCTCAGACAGAAAACACTTCTTGCACACGGTTTCACTAAAGGAAGGGACTTTGTGAGTCTCTGCTTTCCTCTAGATCCCCAAGGCGGAATGGCTGGCACAGTTAGGCCCTCTGCCCCATACGTTTTGAAAGAACACCCACTGCAGGAGCTCAATGCATGTTTGTTGACTGAACTATGAAGGAATAGGGGTTCTGCTTGGGAACAAGACAGATTGGGCTTCTGCCCTCTTGGAAGCTACATCTAAGGGAGCTGGGAAGGGTAGACTAGGGTATGCGTGAGCAAATACACCAACCAGATCCTTCGGGGCATGACGGGTGATGCAAAAGGAATAAAGGGAGTGAGATTAGGGGTGACTGGGTTGGTGAGCTTCTTTAACTGGATGGTCAGAAGGTGGCAGTGAAGAAACAAGCTCAGGTAACACCTGCGGAAGTTGAGGCCGGGGAGGGAACTGGGGACAGATGGAGGTCGTGGACTGTAAAGAGCCAGCAGGGTGGGGCTGCTTTAGATACCGTGGTCAAGCCAGTCCTCAGCTCTCCGGGGGACAATGCAGCCGAGACCTGAATAACAATATGAGGAACCCTGAGGCCAGGGGCAGCACTCCAGGAGATTAGCATGGGAGATTCACTCAGAGCCGGTCGGGGGACTCTGGGGGTGGACAGATTAGGACCCTGACCTCAGGGGGTTTTGTATGGGGTGGGGGAAGGGAGAGGACAGTCAAGAAACCGTTCAGTATTGTGCTGTGGTGTTGCCAGGAAGAAAAGAAAACTTGTAAGGGTTGGAGGGTGGGGCAGGGTGTTGATGCCACTTCAAACAGTGATCTGAGAGAGCTGCTTTGAGGGAAGTTCACGGAGGCCCAAGTGGAGGGAGGTGAGACGGTGGCCTATTTGGCTTTCCTGGCTATTCCAGGTGTGGGAGCCCAGTAGATGTACTTGATCACAATCCTCTTCTGCTCAAATCCCTCCCCAGGCTTGCCTCTCCAAAAGCCAAGACTTTCAAGTGGTCAAAAGACCCTCTTGCAGCTGACCCCATTTTCTCACAGAACTCAATCACTCCCCTTCCCCCTCTCCTCCTCCCCACTGCTTGTTATTCTAGAACACCGACGGCTGGCTGACTCCCTCACCTCCCTCAAGTCTCAGCTCCACCTTACCTTTCCCCGGTGGGGGGAAAATTGAGCCACCGCCTCACCCCGCCCCTTTACAACCCTTCCTAGCTTTATGCAGCTCCACGTGGCACTTGTCACTCTGGAAGGCACTCTGCATTTTACATAGTTCTCTTGTAAACCATCTCCCCAGACCGGTGAACTGGGGGAGGCCAGGGATTTTTGTCTGTTTGGTTCACTGTAGCACACTCCCAGTGTTCAGAACAGGGCCTGGCGCACAGTAGGTGCTCAATAAATGTTTGCCCAGGGAATTTTTATTGTTATGCGTTTACTGAAAGAGTCCAGATTACTGTCAGGCGCCTAGTTAGAAACGTGGCCCCTACCATTTTCTCGCTGGGGGGTGTTTGTAGGGATCCTGTGCCTCAGTTTCACCAGCCCTGAAACGGGATCTGAAATAGCTGTTTCTGTGCGTGGCTGTGTAAATTCGGTGTCATTAAAGTGTGGTTATTAAACCAAACGCCACGGGCACAACCCTGATAGAGTTTGGCTTCCAGCAGGGCCCCTGCCCGCAGCCCCATCTTCTCCCATCAGGCCCCGCCCCAGTGGGCGGAGCCACGGCCCGGCCAGCACGTGTAAAAAAGTTCGCGGCCAGTCGCCTCAGCCACTCACCTGAGCGCACACGGCTCGCGCGTCCTCCGCCTGCCTCCCCTCCAGCTTGCCAGATAACGCGGCTGCGACCTCATGTCCCGCCGTAAGGCCGGCCGCACGCCCCGCCGAGTAGAACCTGCGCCCGTCGCCAACTCAGACAGCGACTCGGAGATGCGGGACCTGGTCATCGACGTGAATCCGGAGTCGAATCCGTGGCTGCTACAGGCCCCGGGGCTGCGGCCCTCTTCCTCAAAGGAAGTGCCTGCGCCGGGGCGGTTCGAGGGTGAGCCCCGCTACTCCCCCGACCGGGTGCGCCCCGGCGGTGCCCTCCACGCCCTCGTCTTGCGGAACCAGTGTGTGTCCTGGACTCCTGTGAAACCTAATCCTCACGGTAAGAGACCCCTGTACTCTCCTCCCCTTTCACTCTAGAAGGCGGGGGGGGGGCCTCCTCCACCGGGCTCCGCTCCACGCCTCCTGCCCCCTGCCCCTGCCATATTTTCCGGGCCTGGTCCTGGCCCCTTTTGACCTCCGGGTTTCCTCGCTCCCTTGGAACCCCCAGCCCTGTTCTGGCCCCACCCCACGTTCACCAACCCGCTTCCTCCCTGCAGACCGCCAGCCCTGGACCGACAAACACCCAGATATGTTGACCTGCGGCCGGTGTCTGCAGACCTTCCCGCTGAAGGCCATCACTACTTTCATGGACCACAAGAAGCTGGGCTGTCAGCTCTACAGAGACCCCAGCCCTCGCCCGGACTCAGGTGAGTAAAGCTGGGATGCAGCCCCCTCTCAGGTTCAAGGGCCTGGCTTCCTGGAGTGGAAAGGGGCTGAGCTGGACAGGCAGGGCAGTCAGTGAGCACTACTTCCCCTTTCTTGCTCCCCTTCGGGTGTAGCCTAGGCGTGGCCGGGGCCTGCCCTGTCCTAGGGCTGGGACTAGTTCTGGTGAGGGGGTAGGGGTGGGGCTGGGCAGAGAAGGAGGACGGCCTGCAGGGTGTGGCCAGCCCCAGAAGACCAGTCTGGGGATTTGCCACACGAGCCCCCCCACCCCCCAATCTGGTTTCACTTCTCCTTCCCCTTGGCTAGAAATAACTGGCCAGGTGGCTGGACCAGTGTGGCAGTAGGGGGGACCCTAGGGAGGGCAGTGGCCTGGGGGAGTGGGGGCCTGAGGCCAGCTGGAAGGCGGAGTGTTTCCCCCCCCTCCTCCTGGAATGTCCCAGCCCTGCTTGCTGGGAAGCCCCTGGTTTGAGCCAGGTCCTCCTCCTGCCTGGGCACCTGGGTTCCTTCTCTTAGGACAGAACTAAACCCTTAACATGGTACTAGACTCATGGTGAGCTTTTGGTCAGTGCCAGCTGTGGGGTTTATCCGAACCAATCAATGATTTGTGTTCCCGGGATTTTTGCGAAAGGGCTGGGCCCCAGGGAGGGTCGTGTGGTGAGAGGAGGGGCTGTGATTGAATTAGCTGCAGAGTGGGAGCAGGGAAGGGCTGTGATGGAATTATTGGAACAAAACACTGAGATTCTTGGGGGATTGTGGGCTCAGCTCAGCTAATGTTTAGTGAGAGCTTGCATGGACACAAACTCTCAGCTGTTCCCCATTCAAGGCTGCAATAACCCTAAAAGGGAGAGGACCCCAAGGATCCCCATATTCGAGCAAATGTGGAAATTGAGGTTCAGAGAGGGTTTGTTTTTTTTTTTTTTTTGCCTACAGTAGCACAGCTAGGCAGGAGAGCCAGGTTGAAGTCAGGCCAGGTAGATCCTCTGCAACCCTGACAATGCTCTTGACCCTAGTGTTGCATTACGAAAGCCAAGGCTGCCTAGCATTTGAAAAATAAAGACAAGTGGATCTGGGAAGTATCTTACTGATAGTGCCTGGAGGGTCTACAGAAAGCAGAAATATTTTTAAGTTAAAAAATTTTTATATATTGATTTTAGAGAAGAAAAACATGTATTTTTTGTTCCACATATGTATTCATTCATTAGTGGGTTCTTGTATGTGCCCTGACTGCAAATCGAACTCGCAACCTTGGTGTATCAGGATGACTAACTAACTGAGCTATCTGCCAGGGCTTGAAGATTTTCAAACACATAGAAGGAACCCTCACATACTCATCGCATTTCAGATTTTTTCCCCTCACTTCTTGTCCATCCATCCACCTCCCCGACCACCAGCTTCCTGAGGACAGGGAGTTTCCCTGTGTTCCTACTGTTCCTGGGTGCTGGAACAAGAGCCTTGCCCGCAGAATGTGTCCGGCTGGCAGCTGTGACCTGCAACTGCTATGCCCTTGACCCCTCACACTAAAACCCATTCCGTCTCTCTGCAGACCGTGAGAACATGAAGGCCTTGATCTGCCTCCGCTGCGGCCGGCAGTTCACCAGGGCCTGGAAACTGCTGCGCCACGCCCAGTGGGACCATGGACTGTCCATCTACCAGACAGAACCTGAGGCCCCAGAGACCCCACTGCTGGGCCTGGCAGAGGTGGCGGCAGCCATGTCAGCAGTGCTGGGGCCGGAAGTGGAGGCCAAGAGCTCCCGGGCCAGCAGCCTCCCCAAGCGGAGCCCCACCTGCCCCGTGTGCGCGAAGACCCTCAGCTCCTTCAGCAACCTCAAGGTGCACATGCGCTCACACACGGGCGAGCGGCCCTACGCCTGCGACCAGTGTCCCTACGCCTGCGCCCAGAGCAGCAAGCTCAACCGCCACAAGAAGACCCACCAGCAGCTGCAGCCTCAGAGCCCCTACATGGACAACCCCAGTCAGGAACAGGCCTCAGCCGCCCCTCCGGAGCCAGCTGTCCATGCCGCTGCCCCAGCCAGCGCCCTCCTTTGCAGCCGCGGAGAAGGGGCTGGGGCTGGAGCTGCGGACACGGCAGGTGTGCAGGAACCTGGGGCTCCAGGTGGTGGAGCTCAGGCTGGCCCTGGTGGGGATGACTGGGGAGTTGCCAGCAAGGAAGAGAAAACCGACTCTGCCCAGAGCCCAGAGATGTCACCCAAGAAGACGCCAAAGCCAGTGAGCAAGAGCCATGGGCCCGGGGGCAGCTGCGAGTTCTGTGGGAAGCATTTCACCAACAGCAGCAACCTGACGGTGCACCGGCGCTCACACACCGGGGAGCGGCCCTACGCCTGCGAGCTCTGCCCCTACGCCTGCGCCCAGAGCAGCAAGCTCAACCGCCACCGCCGCATGCACGGCCTGGGGCCCAATGGTGCGCGCTTCGAGTGCCCCCACTGCCGCGTGCCCTTCGGCCTGCGGGCCACCCTGGACAAACACCTGCGGCAGAAGCACCCCCAGGCTGGTGGGGAGGCCTGAGTGGCAGACGTGCCCACCCTGCTGTCGCCGGTACCACGTTTCACGTGTCTGTTGATCTCGTCCTTCCCCTACTGTGAATAAATCCTCCCTCCCTCTAGTTGTACGCGTGTGGACTTTGCTTTCTCGGGGCATCTGAGGTGGGGCGGGAGGCTTTTTCTCCTTGGGGTGGACGGCTGGACAGACCGGTTTGGAATGTTGGGGTGAGGGGAAAGGCCGGCCCCCAGTGCCTGTGGCACAGCAGGACTGGCACAGAAAGCCGTGCTCCCAGTTCCCGGTGTGGGCGAGGGCAGGGAGAGGCCTGGACCTGTCACCAGAGGCCTTGGGCAAAGTCCTGGCCCATCCTCCACAGGCGGGTGCCGAGCTCTTCTACTGGATGGAGACCCTGCCCTCACCGGGCCGCAGGCACCCAGATGCAGCCGCGCTTCCCACACAGGCCACACTGGCGCCTGCCCCCTGCCCCTCCCCTCCTGGCTGGCGGACAGCCGGTTTAGGAGCCCTGCACCCAGCACTCGCATGAAACTGAGGCCAAGTGAAGGGAATTAAATAACGTTTATTTCATCAGAGAACAAAACCAGCAGCATCACAGCTTGAGCCCTCACCCCACCCCAGCCCTTCACCCCCCCCCCCATGCTTCTGCCTAGTGTCGATAATGGGGGCTTCGAGATCTGGACCTTGAGCGCCTGGAAAGGAAAAGGGAGGGGCCCCGTGAGGGCTGGGCGGGACGCTGGGAGTCCTGTGCGCAAGCACCAGCACGCCCGGGGACCGCGGGGCCACGCTGGTCAGGAGGCGGCTGCGGAGGGAGGGCATTTCCGAGGGAGGAGGCAGCCCCTACACCTGGAGGTTCAGGGTGGGAATGGGCAGACCCAGCCCTCAACCGGACAGCTGATGTCCCAGGGAGACTGCCGGCTCACTCACCTTCGGGAAGAGCTGTAGTCTCGACCTGGAAAGGGAGGAGGAGGTGAGGGCCAAGCAAACGCCTGGGGCCAGGGGCGGGTTTGGACTTCCGGTGTCACCTGTGGCTGAGGTAACCCAGTGCGTGCACTGCTGGAACTACTGCCTGCGCTGCTGGCCTGCATCTCCCTTGTGACTGACCCAGCACATGTGTGTGTGCATGTGTGTTCACCCCGAGAGGTTTAATACATGGCAGGCTAACATGAGAACGCACCACGGTCTTTGTACCCAGTTTTGACATCGCTCTAATGCCTGGAGCCTCCAGCCCAGGGACTCGGGACACTCACTGTAACGGGGGGAGGGCGAGCGGCTCTGCCGGCTGTACTGGCGTTCCCACTCTTCTCTCTCCTTCTCTCTGCGTTCCCGCTCCCTGCAGGGGAAGAGGAGGCAACCCAGGGAGAGGAGAGTTCAGGACACTGAACTCCAGGGCCACAGGGCCACCTGCCCAGGGCAGGTGCTTCTGACATCCAGGTCCCTGTGGAAGAGCAAACCACCCCCACTTGGAAACGAGGACAGAGTGTGCAGAGTGGGGCCAGCCAGGCAGCGCTGGGGCCCAGTGCCCGTTGGCCCGGCTATCATAGGCTCACTGACCACACGGAAAGGAGGGCTACGCAGGTCAATCGTCTCCTGCTCCACTCAGCTAGGTATTTAATTGGTTTCTGACAGAATAACCGGGGTTTGCAATCCTCAGGGAGACGTTTCCTGGGGGCCTTCTCCCAGCTGAGGTGGGACATTTAGTAGCTCAGCAAAATGAGACTCCGGAGAAAGGCCCACAGGTGCTGAGTGGCCAAGGCAGGATCAGAGCCCAGGGCTGGTCCCTGGCACTCTGCCCCACCCCCACCCCCAACGGGAACCCACCCAACAAGGGGTGTGTGATATGGTAAGTAATGACAGCGACGGTAACAATGACAAACAGCAGTGGCATTGGGCATCAGGCTCTCCTACATGCCAGACCCCCGTGCTTCCCCGTGAGCCTTAAAATGGCCCCACCAACGCAGGGGCATTATCACACCTGTCTCACAGAGAAAGAGGTCCCAGCTCAGAGGGGTTACGCTGCTTGTCCAAGGGCCCACAGCAAGCACGGGGTAGAGTCAGAAACAGGTTAAGAGGCAACATGGTTCTGCCCCTGACTGACGCCCCTCCTTGCCAATGAGGAGCACCTGAGTGTCCTCCCGCGTGGCCCTGGAGGGGCTGAGGCCTTACGGGCACTGGTCGCCAAGTGAGCCTGTGAGGCCGGCCCTGAGGGCTAGGGCCCACCCAGGGCCACGCGGAGACACAGGGCTGCATGCGACTCTGCAGTGGAGGACCCAGAAACGAGCAGCAGCGGAGGGGAGAAAAGAAGCCCTGTCCAGCAGCACCAGGCCAGCCCAGCCACAGGGCTGGTTAGTTCAGCCCTTCCACAAATAGTACCACCTTAGTGTTCTGGGGGCTGAACACACCGGCAGCAGGCTGGCAGCCGGACCAGGTGTCCCAGTGGGGACACCAATAATAAGCAAGCAAAGCAGACCTCGCGCCAGGTGGGGGTGAGTGCTACAAAGCAAACAAAGCAGGACCGGAGGGTGGGGCGTTCTCAGTGCTAGTCCAGACAGGGGGGTCAGGGAGGAGACCCACCCCCGGGGCAGTGAGGAGGGAACCAGGTGGGGATCTAGGGAAGAGTATGCTGGGCCCAGAGAACAGGAAGGGATGTAAGCTGGTGGCCGGGAGAGCAGGGTCAGCAGGGCCGTAGTGACTGGGCTGCAGAGGGGAAACAGAGTCAGGCCAGGCGGGGGCTCCAGCAGGGCTGTGGCTCAGAGCCAGGGGGGCAGCGGGCAGTGAAGGGGATGAAGGGCTTCCCAGAGGCTCGTCTACGGCTGTGGCCCTGGCACAGGGAGCTGGACAGTCTTACTTCATCCGGATCTTCCGGGCCATGGCTCGAAGCTCGTCTTCCCGCTCCTGCGGCGGAGATGGCAGTGAGCGGCAGTGAAGGCTGGCCCAGCCGGCGCTCACTCACACGCCACCCCTCCCCCCGGCCTTACCTGCCGTTCGTGCTCCTGCTGTATCATCTTCTCCTGAGCGGCCTTCTTATCCGCCTTGACTGTGGAAGGAGGGGACACAGTGGCTGCAGGGTGCCCTCCGGAGCCCTCCCAGGGCAGAGGGCCGACTAGCCCTTGGCAGGGGGCAGCAGGACAGCACGCACACCCACTCCTCCCAGAGGGCCTCCCTGAAGCCAAGCTGGGAGGAGTGGGAGCGAGGGAGACTTGGGGCGAAAAGGGGGACATACACTGCCTGTTCAGTGCCTTCTGCATCCTCAGCTTCAGCTTCTCCTGTGGCGTCAGCTTGGGCTGGGGAAGGGGGAGAAGAGGCACAAGAGGGGGTGGGTGTCCTGGAGTTCCCACAACCCACCTCATCCAAGATCCTGCGGGGGGCATGTGGGGGGGCAGGCTGTGAACTCCTGCCGAGGAGTCTGGAGGCCCAGGGACAGGTGGAGCCCCAGCGAACAGTGAGAAGGCGAAGGGGATGTGAATCTCACGGGGACAGAGCCCTTCCAGCCCCCTCAGTCCCCGGGGTGGGATCTCTTGGCCCCCCCGGGCCCCCCGTGCAGGCCCACCGGGCCCAGCACTCGGGCACTGCTGCTGGCGGGAGTTAGACGAGCGAGTTCCAAATTCTTACTGACTTTGGCAGCTCCTGTCTCTTTACCAGCGGCAGGTTCAGTCCTGGGGGAGGAAAGAGCACCTGCCACCTCTGACCCCACACAGGCCAACACTGCCCTCAGACTGAGCGTCAAGGCTGTGGGTCTCAGACGCCCCCAGGGAGATGCTCTGTTCCCCCTGGATACACCGGGACAGGGCCGTGACCCGCCCTGGCTCCTCAGGCCTGCCCTTCCGGGTTGGGCCGTGCTCCCCTTGGACCTCCCCAGGCAGGCGCAAGTTCCCATCAAAGAAACCAGTCCGGTCGATCCCCCAACGCAAGCTGACAACCCTCTTCCCTCAGCCCTGCACCTACTCACTTTTTCAGCTTCTCGCCCACAGCGGGGGACGACGCTGGCCTGGTCAGCTTCTCTCTAGGGGGTGATGGCGAGTGACTCTGGCTGCGGCTGCGGCTGTGGCTGCGACTGCGGCTCCGGCTCAGGCTGGCGCTGGGGCTGCGGCTCCGAGTCAGGCTGCGGCTGCGGGATGGGCTGAGGGACCAGCTGCTGCGGCTGCGGCTGCTGCTGTGGTGCCTGGGGCCCCGGCCGCCCCGCCTGTACCAGTCGCCTGAGCGGGAGCGGCTCCTGGGGGCACAGCAGGAGGTAGGCATGAGGCCTCAGGGACCAAGTTTGAGCACACAGCCACCTGGCTCCAAACCTACAGTCCTCCTGCAAGGCCTGTGGCTGGTCGGGGGGGACCCCGCCTCCTTTCCAGCTCCTCTCCCCCAGAAACCCTGTGGCTCCCTGGCCTTGCTCAGTCTACACAGAGCCCACCCTCTAGGCAAAGCCAGACTAGAACTCACCAGACAGCAGTCACCCACCTCCCTGGGAGGCGACCTCTGGGAGGGTGGCACCTGGCTGGTCAGCTGCCCCTTTACACACTGTGCCTGGTTCTGAGCACTCAGGAGCTACACCCTCACCTTGCCCAGACCCAGGGTCCCACACCAGAGTGGACCCCCCGCCCCACTCCCACCAGGCTGCAGCACACAGCTGCCAGCCCCAGCCAGGGACAAGCAGCCCTGCCCTCCCTCTGCCCGGGGCCCTGGCACTGCTCAGGCAGGACTCTCAAGCAGACTGGCATCCAACAGGAGACCAACCCCCACCCCTCCTTTCTCCTGTTGTCACCCTGGGTCGGCCTACAAGGAATGACCCGGAAACCAAATCTAGGTCCCAAATGGATTCCGCTGGGGCTGTCCTGAGTTTTTACAAAATTCAAATTTGTTGGCAATACTGGAGAAACAAAAGCTGCCATTAAAAACCCCGGACTCTCAGCTTGTCCTGAGAAAACAGAAGAGTGGGCAGCACCAGGCCTCCCACTGACCCCAGTGACCCCAGCGGATGGCACATGTGCTCCCTGTTCACTAGGGCCCATGCGGCCCCTCTATTTCCCCTGCCAGATCCAGTAGGGAGCTGCTGTTGAGATGCCAGCGATGTATTACACAGGCGACAACAGCAGCCCTTCCCATGGGCTAGGCTACTGT